AAAAGGTTTTTTGGGTGGGGGAGGAGGGGGGGGAATCTTGAATGTGCGTGATACGTCTAGGATTTGGGAGAGAGGTTCACGATCACCATGGACAAATCCGGTAAGAAGAAGCGAAGAAATGAGTGAGCGTGAAGAAGTGAAGAAGGTCCAGCTGGCAAATGAGTGCCCCCATGAGAGTGACTTGTTTAGTAGACTTGGTCCCGAGTGAAAAAGGGATGCGCACGCGCACAGCAAGATGAGGACCGATGACGCAAGAGAGAGTGAGAGTGAGAGGGCACAAGCAGAAAAGGCCCGGCATGCCGGCCTACATCCCCTTCAGCTCTCCATACAAGCCTGCGCAGCTGTCTTCGCTTCGAAGTTGCAGCATGTAGATGATACCAGTGCGAGACAATTCGCCGTCACCCGCAGACGCATCGCTGACCTCTACAGCGACGCCGACTTTGCCGACGCGTTCCACCGAGTCGGGCATGATCAGCGAGCTGACCAGCACCTTTTTCGAGTTTTCCACCACCAATTGGCGCGTCTCGTCCGGCTGAATGTGAAACACTTTCAGCCTCGCGTCTCCGAGCGACTTCCACTGTGCGTGATTCTGCTTGAGGTAGAGTCTGCAGCGCATCTGGGCGCTCACCGTGCTCGTAGAGGGCCCTCTCCTCTTTAGGGTCGGACTTCCAGGAGGACTGAAAGATTCGTGTCTCCTCACACTGGGATCCTGCAAAAATGCGCTGGGGAGCTTGGCGGGCCCTTCTGCGCTCGAAGTCGAACGCGTTCGCCCCGGCGGAGGAGGCAGATCGTCGAAGCCGTTGCTGTCTCCGCGAGGACTGCGAAGGTTTGGAGCTGACGGCCTGCGCATATTGTCGCGATCTTGGGGTCGACCGGTTGGGGGAAAGCCCGGCCCACCTCGTGGTCCTGGACCGCCTGGCCCGTACCCCGGTCGCCGCGGTCCATTGAAGCCGGCGTTCGGGCCAGGTCCAGGTCCAGGGCCAGGGCCAGGACCACCACGACCGGGACCGGGACCAAGAGGGCGACCATTTTGCCCATTGGCCATGAGCGGGGGCGGACGGCCTGGTCTCTGATTACCTCCAGCTTGCGCGCCAAACGGCGGAGATGTGACTGGACTCAAAGCGCCCGGTGAGAAGGGCTGTCCACCCTGCTGGGGCCTGACTGGCGGGCTTCCATTCGTCCCGTTATATTGCGGCCTGCCGTTGACCACCGGCGCTCTGCCCGGACCGCTCGGTCCTCCAGGACGCGGACCAAAACCTGCGCTGTTCGGCGAAGGGGTCCGTGTAGCACCAGACATGGGACTCGATGTTGGTGGAATGCGAAGATCCGGAGAGCCAACTCCATTTGCGGGAGGCTGCGTCGACTTCGGAAACGATTGGACCGAGCTAAAGGAGCCTTCGCGACCGAGGCTCGAGGCGAGAGAAGTGTGGGGGGAAAATGCGTCGTTCAGAGCGCTTTCCACCGCCGACAGGTTGTTCATCGACGAAGGCGTGACCGAGATGGAAGGAGAGAGTACGGGGGGTCCGTTGCCTGAAGCGACTCCGGGCTGGAGAGCACTTCCGGTCTGCACCTTCAGCCCCATGCCAGCGGTGAAATTGAAGCACTCGTCGAACTGCGCCAACCAGTCGTCGCGGTCTTGTCTAGAATCGACTCTGATGTGCAGCGTCTCTTTCTTGAGGATCAGAATCGAGAATCCTTGACCTGCATGAGCAGAAAGGTGCAGCGGATTTAGCAGATTTTCGCCCCGCCAGCAAGAGTCGTGGTGGCCACTCACCAGACTGATCAGGTGACACGCGCAGGTGCTTGCCGGCCAGGGGAGGGTACAGCAGCCACATGTCCGTCGCCGGATTGCCCGCTCTTTCGCTCGGTGTCATACGCTCGCAAATCAAAAACAAATCCGTAAGCAGGAAGATGTAGGCTCGGTGGATAACCACCTCTCTGCCAGTGGAATTGGGCGTGAAGCGCATCATGACGTCTCCGCCCTTGCGCAAAGATCGCGTAAAGGGAAGACCTGGCGTATTCATGCGAAGTTGGCATTTCTGAGAGGGGGGCCAAGCATCGCGTGAGCAGGAGCGCGTGAGCTGCGAACGATGCGGCCACTCACCTTTGGCCTCATGGTGAAAATGTCCAGCGTCCGTGCTGTATCCAGACGCGTCTCGAGAATGTCCGCAGACGCTCCATCGCTGTCGCGCACGACATTTGGCTTTGGCGCTTCTGGTCGCGCGACGGGTGGCGATCTCGGAGCAGATGAGATGGAGGCAGTGACTTGCTCGGCTGCCGGCGCGGGGCGAGTTGGAGCGAAACCAGGACTGGCCAGAGGGCTCTTCGGCACGGGCGGCTTCTCTTCACGATCACCAGAAGCAGACGTGGCCGAAGACACGCGATTAGGCGTGGGAAACGTGCTGCTGAAACGAGGGCGAGGCGAGGCGAGGCGACTATGAGCTGCAGCGCTGCTTTGGGCCACCACCCACTCGACAGAGAGAAGACTCACTCGTGCGTTCCATTTGTTGTGTTGCCCGTCGAGCTCTCGAGGCTCTCGCGACTGCGAGGCATGGGGCCCTCATCGAGCACGCTCATCGCGATGCGCTTCTTGGAGCGCTCCAACAGCTCATCCAGCTTGTCGTTGGCGCTGACAAGGAGGCGATGATCGCTGCGGCCAGCTTGCGTGCTCTTAAGTAGGCGAGAGTAGAGCTTCTTGTAGTACTTGAGACGAAGCTGCGGCAATGCGAACAAGTCGTCAAGCGTCCACACATCCCCTGGCTTGCGCTTTCGATCTGAAAAGACTACGGGCGAGCCATCTGGCAGGGTGGACTCTGAGACTTCCTTGAGCAGCTGTGGGAGCTTTGGATTGGATTGAACGGAATTCCAGGTGTCAAAATCTGTGAAATAGTTGTCGCAGTATCGCATGTAAGGCGCTTCGAGGTCGTCGATCTGTTGTGCAGACAGCTAGTGTCAGCGGGAATCGACGCGCTGGACGATCGCCCCAAACTCACCCATCGCATGAGCAGGTCGCCGAGCGCTCTGGGAGACGAAGGATTGGGTCCAATTTCGCGAAGAGACTGGAATGTAGAGAGGCACGCGCTCAGCTTGAAAGCAGCAAGGGAGCGCATGCACGCCACACTCACCTTTAGGAAGCCGCGATTGATGCGGTAGATGGACTCGACATTGCGAAACATGGTATCCAGTTCGGGAGGAGGAAAGTTGGAGCGACTCCATGCTGCGGCAACGCGCTGAAGGGACCCGAGGCACCATCTTAGCAACTGCTTGCTCTCGCAAAAAGCCGCGCTTCGTACACGCGCTCACTCACCCTGATGATCTTGCTCAGCTCGCTCACGTACGCGGTCTCCGTCTCGATGAGATCGACGAGCGGATTCGCCTTTCTTGCCTTTTCCTTTTCCTGTGCAACCGCATCGCCATCCTCGCCTCCTCCATCTCCACCGCCGCTTCCTTCGCGCCGGCTTTGCGACCCACTGGCATCTCCTCCCGACCCGCGATCCCGCGCACCACCTCCTCGATCGTCGCCGCCGTCCCCGAAGCCTCCTGGCGAGCCGTTCAACCCGCTGAAAGAAGCACGTTCATCCATCCCTGAGCTCATCTGCGTCAGTACGAGTCCAGCGGCTTGGTTTGCGAAAGCTTGCCGAGGTTCACCCAAGAGCGCAGAGGCAACCGAGGCGTGTAGTGGCCCTTGCGTGTGCTCCGAGACTGCTCCAACAGACTGCCTACCGAGCGAGCTCCTTCTCCGTGTTCGGGATGCTGCGAGTGTATGCGCCTCTTGCCCTCGCCAGGCAATTTGCGATGTGCTGGCACAGTTACTTGAGCTCGAGCTGCCCGGCGCTGCTGCAAAGTGGTTGGGCGCGGATGAGAAGGCTACGCCGCCTGCGAAAGACATGTCTTGCAATCGTCGAGGCTTTCGAAACGACTCTGCTTGGTGCGGCGCAACCAAAGAGGGCGAAGTAGCGTGAAAGTGAAAGCTGGGAGCCTGCGCAGAGTGTCGCGAGTTGACCGAGATCGTAGCCGACCTTCGTCGCTCCTTTGCAATCTCTGCTGGGATCGCGTAAGGTTCCTGCAGACCGGACGATTCAGAATCGGCGCGAAAGCTTGGATTCAATATAGGTCCAGGTGGCCTCCAAGTGGGTCTGGGGACCAGCGATGGCTCGAAGGGGGCAAAGTCCGACACGGGCGGCGGCGCAAAGTGCAAGAAGCCAGGTGGCTGCGGTCGATGATAGAAAGTGGTTGAGCTGGGCGCAGGACGAAATACGTCGTGTCTGCTGTGCTGCAGTGGTCGTGGCGCTGGCGCAAAGGATGGTGGTGCGGGCACAAAGCCAGGCCCTCGCGCTGTCAGTGGTAAAGGTAGGCGCGGCGCTTGTAGAGGAGGTGGGTATGTCACAGGAGTGGGATGCTGGGCGTGCTGAAAAGATGCAAACTGCGCCAAGGGTCTCGTGAGCGCCGGTGATGCAATGATCTGGCCTGGCTGGAATCCAGCAGCGGCAGGAGGCGGTGATGAGAAGGAAGGTCGAGGGGCGTTGTGAAAGGGTCGAGAAGGACCGCCTGCGGACAGGCTGGAGTGGAAGCCGATGTAGCTCGAGTCAGGAGGCCTGTGCGACATTGTGAGGGGATGCGGGTGAGTGCGATGATGGGTGAGCAGGATATCATGCAATGAGCGCGCACGAATGATTGCATGGGTGTGTGCGTGGGTGCGTGTGTGCGTGGGTGCGTAGAGTTTGGGAGCAGGTCGCGGAGGGGATGTCTGATTGGAGACGAGCCCTGATGCAGACGACGGCCAGTCTGGCTCGCCCATCGATCTTGGTCATCTCGCGTACGCAAAATTAAACGCACGCGTATCCACCTCGGTACCTCGCACCGCACCGCACCGCATCGCGCCACACCGCGCACCGATGACAGCCGCTGGCTGGTGAGCAATAATCCACAAGCGAACATAAAAGCTCCATGGAACGTCAATGGCCGCGCTCCCGTCACACACTCGTGTGCGCGCGCCCATCGCAACAAGGGACGCATGATGTGCAAATGAGGGGACAACCCCGCCATGCCCAGCATGCATGCGCTCCTAGAGGGGCACCAAAGCAATCAAGAGGCGGGCGCATTTCCCACCATTTCATCCACAGCCATGCACTTACTGCTGGAGTCACGAGTATGGATGGGCACAAGACGGCGCACAGCACCGCATGTACCCGCCATCACTGCTGTGACTCCTTGTAGCTAACATCGGCCTTCCGTGGCCGTATTGAAGATGATGCACCCGCCCGCCCGCCCGTCCGCTCGCGCCTT